ATTTCACCATATTTGCAGCTAAATTGCTGCACTTTGCTGCTACCGTCCTATTGGTGCAGCTCTCCCTTCTTCATTTGCTGCCATTTTGTGCAGCCTTTCATTTTCACTTGCTGCTACTTGGCAGCTTGAACACCACAACTCCAACACTCCTCCTTGGTGTTAAAGCTGCAAAATCAAAACAGAAACTTTTATGCCTAAGCACCTGGGATCAACCCTTTGCCGTCCATCATGTGCTTGGTTTTCACCATTTTTTTTTTTCACAGCCAAGTACCACCCTTCTCAAACAACCTCAGCTCCTCCTTCATTGCAGCTTTCCTTCTTTGGGTTTTGCTGCCTCAAACAAATTTTGGAGGTTTTGCAACTTGCATTTTCTGAGTAAATAAAACAAGGGATTGATACCTCAAATTTGCTGCTTCATCATTTTTTCTTTCATCTTCTACAGCTTCCTTGGGGTCATAGATTAGATTCAACTTCTGGTGAACATGACTTGATGCATGCTCTGAGTTTTCTTCCTTTCTCAGGCAACACCCTTGACAGACATTCTTTTCCCCTTTGGACCGTTGGTTGTAGAATCCATCAACACCTTCTCTTTGTAGGTCCAGCTTGCCTCTTCACACCATCTCCTCATTATGCTTGATCTTGAGCTATAGTGGGCCTACCATATGCCTTCATCACTTGCTGAGTGATTTGGCTAAAAAACGGAAGAGGGATTTCAAAATGAACCTACTGGAATCCATTTGAGAGGTGGGTTTTGGTTATGCTTCGATTAACTCTCTCACAGTCCCTCAAAGATCAATAGGGCTCTGATACCATGTTGGTTTTTTAAAACAAAGAAAATGGGGAGGAGACCGAGAGGAAGATGATGAAGAGCAGAACACATAAAATGGAGAGAAGTATATGACTTCAACTCATCTTTTCTCATTAACAAACTCTCCTATATAGAGGAGAATACAAACATTTCAAAATTCAAATCTATTTTACATTAAAAAAACAATAAAGTACATTTGAAATTTAAACAAATAACAGCTACTTTTCTGCAACTTGTGTCCTTTGGCAACTCTGCAGCCTCTTTGCAGCCTTTCATGTGCATTTGCATTTCATGTGCATTTCATTTGCTGTTCATTGCAGCCTCATCTTCATCAACATTTGCAGCTTAGCTTGCTGCACATTTTTGCTGTCATTTGACAGCTTCAATTTCACCATATTTGCAGCTAAATTGCTGCACTTTGCTGCTACCGTCCTATTGGTGCAGCTCTCCCTTCTTCATTTGCTGCCATTTTGTGCAGCCATTCATTTTCACTTGCTGCTACTTGGCAGCTCGAACACCACAACTCCAACAATTTCATGGCAGTTTCAATTCATTATTTCTGTAGATTTGAATGCCACGTTTCTAGCAATAATTCCAACATCTTTTACTTGTTTTAGATGTACTTTAATTGTTGTTTTTTTAATGTAAAAGAGTTGCTTAGACAAACTAAGAAGCTTTTTTAATTGTTTTTAGATTGTTTTCTGCTATATAAGGCAAAGTTAGTTAATGAGAAATCTGAGTTGGAGTGTTATACTCCTCTCCATTTTAGTTTATTATATTCTGCTCTTCGGCTCCTTCCAGATTTTCTCTCCATTTATTTGTGAAAAAAACCAAAAAACGAAAGATAGAAAAAAACCAAAAAACAAAAGAAAAAAAAAAATCAACATTCATTACATGATTTTTGGTCATTCGAAGCTGAGCAATTGCAGGAAGCCAACAACTGGAGTCATATTATCAAACCGTATTCAGGCATTTGACTGGTAGGATCAGTTAGTAAAACTGATTCAAATCACCATAAAACTCAAGAGATAATCTTGAGAAGCATGCAATAAGAAGAACAAAATAACATAAACTGAGCTAAAGATGATGCTCAGGTTTTTCCATTGATTTCTAGACGTTTTTCATCAATACAGACTTGTTTTGTATGTACTAGTCTTTTACATTCACCTACTACCTTTGAATAATAATACATAAACCCCAAAACAAGGAGCATGTTACATGGATACAATTAAAGTAAAGCCATGAACTGAGATGAAATACTTAACATCAAAGATACAAGAAGATCTCATTTGAAAATCAACAAAGAAACTTCTCAGCAACTTAATGAAACTGAACTGGACATGAACAGTGATGTGAACAATAACCTTGCTGCACTATTTCATTAGTCTTCAACATGGCCAAAAAAATTTTGTCTTCACCATCTGAAGTATGGATTGCAATTCCAAAACTAGAAGTACAGCACGCTGAGAACTTACAATTCCATGTCCTTCTCTCAGTTTCCTTCCTGGACACAACCAATATCCTGTTTCTGTCAGTATTCTCATTCAATCCTGTCACTGATTTTAACTTGGAATTAATATCAATGAACACATCAGCCTTGAATCTCAGTATGCACAAGCACCAAAAAAGCAGTTGTTAAATTCAGATGGTCAAGCTTCTGGTCACTATGGTAAAAACTACGAAGGTTTAAGGTTTGTGAAAATACCTTCGAGTTCACAATCACTACAAGACTGCAATGTAAAAACTTCATTTCCAGAAAGAAATTCTTTTGTTCAGGAAATTATCATACAGATTTGTGTGTTTCAGAATGCAGTCCAGAAATAGAGGTCAATAGAGAATTTTGCAGCTGAAATAATAATCGAGAAAAATGAAAAGAAAAAAAATTCATAAAGATATATACATGTCACCTCTACATCTACTGCAGATTTTGAGCTGTTAAGGTTTCTATCACCATTTTATGAGGAACTAATCCTGGGGAACATTTTTATGTAAAAAGCTCTTGCAGAACTAGCATGTCATACAGCTGATATGTGCATGGGCAATTTATCACATACTTTATCTTTTACAGGTAAATATTTGAGCATGTTAGCAGCAGTAGGTGCAGTTACAGGTTAGAACTTTTAAGCACATATTTTAGCCAAATGCCAAAAAATTTTAAGTAATGCTAAGCAAACAAAAATATTAAACATGAAAGTCTACAGTAACTCTACTAGGATCACATTTTTACCTGATGATCACCCATCTCAATTTAGAAATACAATAGAAGGCACATGCTGGATTTTGTAGAAATCCTCTCCATCTTCTTGAAGGAGACTTTTGAATGCTCTAGTCATCCATCTAATCTCCAGTTCCTTAAGAGTAGTGATGAACATCATGCCTTCAGGAACAATCTTTAGTTTATAGCAATCTGAAATTCCTAGACGAGCCAGACTATGCATGGCTCCTTCCTCCACTGTCCACTCCTCTAAATTGGGAAGGCCACGCAGGAGCAATGTCTTGAGTTGGGGAAAACCTTCTCTTGAGCGAACCATTTTCTTTCCGACAAACACTTCCCACCCACTAAAGTATCTTAAGTTTGGCAGCTTCTCCAGAGTCTTCATTGGGTCTCCCTGAAGCCTAGATCCCCACAAAGTTAACTTGGCAAGGTAGGGAGGGAACTCATGGTACTCAGGTAGGTTCTCTATCCGCCCTTCTATGTGCAGCTTGCAAAGATGAGGACAGCCTAATAATAGCTGCCTTAGATCAACAACCTTATCAGGAAAGGAGAGAATATCAGTCTTCAAAGACAAGGACATGAGGAAGTTTAATGTGTTTCTTGGAGGATCAAAGATTTTGACAAAGTTTCCAAAGTATCTGGCATCATTCAGTACAAGTTTCCTAAGATTGGTCAAGCTGAGAAGATCTTTAACATCACATTTGTTGGCAGGAAAGTTCACAAGGGTCTGCAATTTGATCAAATTTGCCAGCTGCAACTTATCAGTTACATCACCACACCACTTTGGAAGATATAGATGTCTCAACCATACCATCTACCATAATACATCTGGCAATTGTACAGTTGATTCCCAAGAAAACTTATTTATGGTTTGCAAATTCAGGGTTTCCAACAACACCAGATTGACCAGAGATGATGGCAACTCTCTTATAAGAGTTTTCTTTATCCTTAAGAACCTCAGCTGTGTCATAGTTCCTATACCTGCTGGTAACTTCACCTTAGGTCCTTTAATTCCTTCAAGATCCAAGACTTTAAGCAATTTGAACTTGGCAACTGCAGAATTCATTATCTTTGCGATATCTAATCTGTGTTTTTTTGAACGGAAGAAGAAGAGGGACCTCAGGTTGGGATTTTTTTTGTATTGTGGCAAAATAAGATCATCAACATCTTCCCTCAAAAGAATCGAAAGCCTGCGACTTCTTCTGATTGATCTTATTTCACTGGATGATGAAAAAGCACCGAGGGTCTCACTCCCACGCCAGTGGTTAATTATGTCCATGAAACTTTCTTGTCTTGCCTTCAACAAGCAAAGATCACGCATAAGGTCATGCAGGCGACAAGTTTTGATTGTTCCAATTGAACCCCTCACTCCCACTTGAACCATACACCTGTTGATCAAGCTATGTAGGTAGCCTTCTGCAACATCTTCCACTGTTTCATCTCCTTCTATCTCATCCTGTGAGAACACAAAGCCTTCTGCCACCCACTGCTGAACTAACTTTTTAGTTGGTATATCAAAATCTTCAGGGAATTGACTCAAATAGAGGAAGCATGGTTTCGATTGGTAAGGCAATTCATGGTAACTTAACGCCAATACCTCAGATAATCTTGCTTGTTCATGCCCTTTAGTTCTGGACAAATATGACCTGATATTTCTGTTCACCATGTCCCACTCACTCAATGTTTCTTTTGTTGCCAAAAGCCCTCCAAGCACAACAATGGCCAGTGGTAAACCTGCACAGCTTCCAACCATTTCTCTCCCTACGTTCTCCTTATCTTTGTTGATTCCGAAGTCTACAAGAATGAAATGAACCTTTAATAATAAAAAAATAATTATTTCTACATTTAAAACAGAAAGCATATTATCAACCAGTAATCATTCATTCCTTAGGATTGTGTGCTTCAAGAAGGTTAAAAAATCAAGAGCACGTTATTTTGAGCTATATGACACTGTGATTGACACCTCTAGATTCATAAAACCTATTTCTATATAGAACATGTCAACAACACAAAAACTTAATTTTCATTGTCACAGACATGTGCTTAAGGCTCCTAATATCCAATTCATGTAATACCATGCCCTGTTACAATGAATGGGCTAAGTGTAAGATCTTGGTAAATTAGATTGCATATTCCAGTTTATGTAGTCTGCAACATAGATAAACAAAATTAGACCTGGAGATTATAGAGCATATGATGATAATTGTTTACTTGAATCGCTTCTCCTTGGAAATGCTTTCCTTTGGAATAACTCCCAACTCTTTTCTTTATTCAAACAGTCTGGTTCATGAACAAATCCCTCTTGGTCAGCAATCAAAGCCACTTCTTTGTTGCGTGTTGTAAACAGTACTTTGCTACCAGAAGCAGTCATTCGGAAAAGCAGCACTAAGAGTTGACCATGCCTCGGTGCTCCAAATATCATCAATAACAATCAAACACTTCTTTTCTTTCTGAACTTTAAAAAGCTTCTTTGCCAAATCTTCATCTCTCATTCTTAAAATTTCCTCCCTCTCCTCCCTGGATGGTATGATAAGTTTCAGCAAAATCCCCTCCCAAACATCTCTTCTTTTGCATTGCTGTGACACATATGCCCAAGCAAACCCTTCAAAGTGTCTCCTTATATCACCATGATGGTAAACAGCTTTTGCCATGGTGGTCTTTCCCAGACCACCCATACCAGAGATAGACACAACTTTGTATTTCTCTTCATTCACCAGCTGTGCTATCAGTTGCCTTATATCTTCATCAAACCCGACAATATACTCTTCAACAACATGGGAATAAGACCACCTGAGCTGCCTCTGCCTCTCAAATGCTAAGCTAGTTCCTTCTCCTTCTTTTCTTGCAGTTATTCCATAAGTTTGTAAGCTTCTGGTGAGATCAATTATTCGAGATTTAATCTCATCAATTTTTGAAGCAAGGTTGTGAAGTGCTATGCCTTTGGTGATGGGATTATGGATTCTTCCTACATTCCGTGGTGCAAATTTAAGCACAAAACTGTCAATAACATCCTCAATGTCATAAGCAGCATCTCTTATCTCTGAAACCCAATTCCGAACGCTGGCATCCTCATCTTTCCTCTTGTCAGCATCTTTTAGAAAGCACTGTATCCGTTTTAGCTCGGTTTGCATCTGTTGGACCTGATCCCGTACACTCCATAACAGTGTGGTTTCATCAATCAAGAGGTTACCCAACCTCTCCACAAGAAAGGATACCACAGCATCAGCCGTTAAATATGCCTTTGCTTCTTGACTGAAGACAGACAGGTACAAGCTAACAAAATAGCAAAAGCCCTCTTATTTTCTGAACAATTAATAAGGAAGCATTCAAAATTTCACAAAAATAACAAAAACTCCATGAGTTTCACAAAGCCAAGGGAGAAATGTAAGCCTTCAATTACCTATCTTTCACAAAGCAAACTGCACTTGAGTGCTTCCATCTTCGGGTTTTATTATATTTCCTCCAATATCAATGCCATCAGTTTTTACTTTGACTGCAAGGGCATCTTCCAAGAGGCTGGCAAGCATTGACATAAAACTAGCACGTGGAAAAGAAGGATTGGGATGACCCAACACGGATTCCCCTGAAGTATGTGCAGGAAAATTGCTTTCATACGAATCATACCAACCAGTAAGAGAGAAGAAAGATGTTGGAAATTAGATACTATTATTTAGCTATTATTTTAGGAAGTTTAAATTATTTATTTGTTTTAAGTTGTTATCATTTAAATTAGATTGGATAAGATTGGTTAGTTATCTTTTTAAATAATATTATCTTGTAAAGCTTATTTAAAGGCTGAATTATTTTCAGTTTAATGTGAGATTCAATTTTTCATTCCATCTTTTTTTTTTTTTTTTTTTTGGGAATCCTTTATTTTTTAACATTTGGTATCAAAGCCTATTCTCGAAAAATTTCATGGCTTTCGAAAATTATGTCCAGCCCTCAATCCCTAGTTTTGATGGTCATCACTACGACCATTGGAGTATGTTGATGGAGAATTTTCTCTGGTCCAAAGAGTATTGGACTGTTGTTGAAGCTGAAGTTCCAGAACCAACGACATGTGCAAATGATGCACAGAGGGTAAACATTGAGAAGGAAAAATTGAAGGATCTCGAGGTTAAGAACTATTTGTTCCAAGCTATAGATTGGGCTATCTTGGAAACAATTCTTAACAAGTCTACTTCCAAGAATATTTGGGATTCCATGAAGAAGAAGTACCAGGGGAATGAAAGAGTAAGGCGGCAACAGCGCCAAGCTTCGTGGGCGGAATTCGAAGTTCTGCAAATGCAAATTGGTGAATTTGTAGATGATTATTTTGCAAGGACAATGGCTATTGTAAACAAGATGAGGATCCATGGTGAAAATCTGGAGGATGTTGCCATAGTTGAGAAAATCCTTCTGTCTATGACAACAAAATTCAATTATGTTGTTTGCTCAATTGAGGAGTCAAATAATATTGAGGCTCGTTCCCTTGATGAGTTACAGAACTCATTATTAGTTCATGAGCAGAAGATAAATCACCAAGACAAGCAAGAGCAAGCAGTGCAGATTTCGCAAACACAAGTCTTGCATACCACAGTTAGGGCTGTAGGTCGAGGAAAAGAAAACTGGAAAGGTAGACCAAGATCTGACAGATTGGAGGAAAGTTCAGCCACTGAAATTCAGAAGAGAAATGATCAAGCTGCAGATAACAAATCCAAATCTGCAAGAAAGGGAAATATTGAATGCTTCAGAAGTCATAAGTATGGCCATTATCGTTTTGAGTGCCGTGCTAATCTGAATAGAGGAGAAAGTTCTAATTTTGCAGAACACAACAAGAAGAATGATGATTCCTCTCTATTCATGGTAGATTACAAATTGCAGATCTGTTGATATGGTGTTATCCAGATTTCTTAAAACTAAAGTCTGAAAACTTTCAGTTTAAGGGAGGGATTATTGGAAATTAGATCCTATTATTTAGCCATTATCTCTATATTTTAGAAAGTTTAAGTTATTTATTTGTTTTAGGTTGTTGTCATTTAAATTAGATTAGATAAGATTGATTAGTTATCTTTTTAGATAATATTATCTTGTAAAGCCTATTTAAGGTTGGATTATTTTTAGTTTAATGTAAGATTCAATTTTTCATTCCAGGAAACCTTGATTTTTTAACAAAAGAAACCTCCAAGAAACTTTCATTTCGTTGACTTTTCAACAAGAAAGCAACTAGGAGGGACCTACCTACTCGGAAATTACCTGGATGTTTCATTTAAGTAGAAGACAAAAGTTTGTGATTTCGTTGACTTTTCAGTAACTCTGAAATAAAAGGAAATTAAGACCGACATAATCCAAATGCGATGCAGAATTGCCCTCCCTCCTGTTACATTTATCAAAAAGAAACCCACAACTCAATGTCTCTTCAAAATTTCTTCAAATGTCTCAGGAAGACATTAGTTAAAGAAAGAGAAAGAAAACCTTCAGCACTTTCAGAGGGACTATGTCGTTAATTTTCACTAGCTGAGCTCAAAGCTGCCACCAACAACTTTGATGATGATTTGAAAATCGGTAAACATTTTTTTGGCCCAGTGTACAAAGGCCTCATTGATGGCGGCTCCTGGGTTGTCGCTGTCAAACGCTTGGATAGATCATCCCTAGGAGGAACTGAAGAGTTCCGAAACGAGGCACAGTTACTTTGCCAGCTGCGCCACCAGAATCTTGTCTCTTTCCTCGGGTTTTGTCACGAGAAGGGTGAGAGCATCCTTGTGTTTGAATATGTGACCCGTGGGGGATTGTATGGTCATCTTTTTAAGAATGATGATCCCCTCCCATGGAAGCGGAGACTAGAGATATGCATTGGGGCAGCGGTGCAAAGTATGCAATAATTCACCGCGGTGTCAAGCCTTCTACTATTCTTTTGGACGAAAATTGGGATGCAAAGCTTTCAGATTTTGGGTTTTCCATGATTGGTCCCTCTAGCATCTCAAAGCCTAAGCCCAACGCTTTGACAAAAACACACTCAAGAATTTATGGTACATACGGATATATAGCTCCAGAGTACGCGAGTGAAGGTGAATTCAGTGTAAAAATTGATGTGTACGCGCTAGGTATTGTTCTGTTGGAAGTATTGTGTGGTAGAAGGATGGTTGATACCAAGGCAGAAGAGGAGGAATTGGATTTTTTTTTTTCCCTGGATCATTAAATGCATAAAAAACGGCTGCGTTCATGATATGATCGATCCATTTTTGAATGGGAAGATAGCACCGGTGTCTTTGATAGAATTTGTGGAGATCGCTCTCAATTGTGTATATGCAGATCCAAATGAACGGCCTTCAATGGGAGAAGTTGAGGTAACCTTAGAACTTGCATTGGAGCTGCAGGAGAAAGCCGACTTGGTTATCAAGGCTGAGAATCCACATGCTGTCTATGCCTACGAAGATGTATCATTTCGTTTTTCTGTTGAAAAAATCTGGCTAGTCAACTGTGATGGTAGTGAATCGGATGCAGGATTAGGGATGTCAACGGAACCCCGCGGGGTCGAGAAGTCTCTCCCCATCCCTGTCCCTGCGAATAACGGGGACGAAAATCTCCGCGGAGATTTTTTGATAGGGTAAATTTTACCCCCATCCTCATTTCCTGTGGGGAACGGGATCCCGTTTCTCACCAACTAATATCCAAATATATATTTTTTACATTAAATATAAATAAAATTAATTTAACATAAATAATTAGTAGAAAAACATGAATGGTAAGAAGCATTGGGTTGGGTTGGGTTGGGTTGGATTGAAAAAAATTGGGTTAAATTTTATTGAATTAGGTTTAGGTTTGAGTTTGGGTTTGAGTTTGAGTTTAGGTTTAGGTTTAGGTTTGAAAATTATATTAAATTTAAAATATTTTTTTTTTAATTTTTCACGGAAACAGGGATCCTCGCGATGTCCCACGAGGCGGGAAAAATTCCCCACAAAATTTCACAGGGGGAAAATGTCCTCGATCCTCGCCCCACTTGGAGAAATATTCCTCCCCACTCCATCTCTGTGATGGGATCCCCGCGGAACCTCACAGAGATCGGGACAAATTGCCATCCCTACATAGGATCAATCTCGGATGCAGAATTGGTCTCCGATGGAGAAGCGGTCTCTGTTGCCGAATCATAAATTGATAGAGATGAGTTTGGAAGGGGGAGTCTTCCTGTAAAATCAATATTAATTTTTATTGCTGAAGAGATTGATGCAATTAAATCAAATCAAAGGAAAGTCAACATTCTATTCAAAAATTCAAAATTAAATGGTGTTATCAACTCATTGTATGGAGCAGCAAAGCTGGCATTCGTTTTGAGACTTTACACCACCGAAGTTGTTATCATCATTAAATGGTGTTATCAAATCCTCTGTTAATTTATTTATTTTTTGTGCAATATTGTAAATTGCACTCAAAAGTCTCAAACATCAATCCTATAGAGTTTATTATATTTCCTCCAATATCAATGCCAGTTTTTATTGCTTTGACTGTAATTGCAAACTTAAAAGAACAAAGCCGGCAAGATAAGCTGTTTTAAATGATAAAATACAGCTATTACAGGTGTTGAATAGAGGAAAAATTTATTGAACTTGAGAGATGGGACACAGCAATCACCTTTCCTTTTGTCACTAGACTAGAAGACTAGAAATCTTCACTTAGACAACAGATACATCACCTTCTCTTAAAATTTCGTATGAAAATACAAGGAAAAGCAAGATCCTAACTAAGGATAACATTAAAGAAAAAAAAATTCTGCACTAATCTACTTCAGTAAAGTTAAACATAAAGGGG